CCCACCCACCATGCCCCACTTATGCACCCACTCATCCAAACACCCACCTAGTGAACGACCCATCCTGTCATTCGGCCACTCGCACGCCCAGCCACCTCCGATCAGTGCAGTTGGCTATGTACGGCGTGAAAGAAGTTCCCCATGCATACATCACTCACTCGCCCACTCCTCAATCTGCCATCCACTCACCCATGCACCCACCCATCCCATCACTCACTCACCCACCCACCCCATACCCACCCACCCCATCACTCACCCACCCACCCCATCACCCACCCACCCCATCACTCACCCACCCCATACCCACCCACCCCATCACTCACCCACCCACCCACCCCATCACTCACTCACCCATCCACCCATCACTCACTCACCCACCCACCCATACCCACCCACCCACTCACTCACCCACCACCCCATCACTCACCCACCCACCCCATCACTCACTCACCCACCCACCCCATACCCACCCACCCCATCAGTCACCCACCCACCCCATCACTCACCCCCACCCACCCACCATCACTCACCCACCCACCCCATCCTCACCCACCCACCCCATCACTCACCCACGCACCCATCACTCACCCATGCACCCCCCCCATCACTCACCTACCCACCCACCCCATCACTCACTCACCCACCAACCCCATCACTCATCCACCCACCCCATCACTCACCCACCCACCCCACCCCATCACTCACTCACCACCCACCCCATACCACCCACCCCATCACTCACCCCCCACCCCATCACTCACCCACCCACCCCATCACTCACCATGCACCCACCCCATCACTCACCTATCCACCCACCCCATCACTCACCTATCCACCCACCCCATCACTCACCCACCCCATCACTCACCCACCCACCCACCCCATACCCACCCACCCCATCACTCACCCACCCACCCACCCCATCACTCACCCACCCACCCCATCACTCACCCATGCACCCACCCCATCACTCACCTACCCACCCACCCCATCACTCACTTACCCACCCACCCCATCACTCACCCACCCACCCACCCCATCACTCACTCACCCACCCACCCCATCACTCACTCACCCACCCACCCCATCACTCACCCACCCATCCACCCCATCACTCACTCACCCACCCACCCCATCACTCACTCACCCACCCACTCCATACCCACCCACCCCATCACTCACCCACCCACCCACGCCATCACTCACCCACCCACCCACCCCATCACTCACCCACCCACCCCATCACTCACCCATGCACCCACCCCATCACTCACCTACCCACCCACCCCATAACTCACTCACCCACCCACCCCATCACTCACCCACCCACCCCATCACCCACCCACCCACCCCATCACTACCCCGCCTGCTGCACCACTGCTAACGTCGGTGTCTGATCTGCTCCAGCGGGTGGCTCGCGCTCGCCTCGTGCTTCCACTCATCCCACGTGCTTTCAGTTTCCCCGTGAAGTTATTTTGCTTGTCCAATTCCCGGCAACGCCGCCGCCGCCGCTGTTGTTGTCGTCGTCGTCGTAATCGTGCGTCGACCGCAGATCCTGGGGATTTACGCTTCCCAGTTAAGGTCGAGATCATTTTGGCATCGCCCCCGTCCGTCCGTGCGTCACGTGGGCTCACGGTAACTCTCGTAAAGCTGAACCAATCTGAACAAAACTTGAGCGCAAGGTTGCTTTGCTATTGGGGGACTCGCCCTGTTGAAGCAGTCACATGCCTCGCTCGCGGTCTCTCTGTCTGTCCATCTGTCTGTCCGTCTGTCTGTCCATCTGTCTGTCCATCGATGCGTCTGTGTGTAACAGGAGATGCAAAAACGACTGGTAAATCTGGTGCAGTCCGAGCAAAACTTTCGTCGAGCATCGTGCTGCTCTTAGGCGGGAGAGAGCGAGAGACAGAGAGGGGAGTGTTCGGGCGTGAGTGAGGAGTGTGTGGGAGCTGAAGGGTGTGTGTGTGTGTGCGCGTTCGTGCGTTGTGCGCACAGGAATTTCGGGAGGCTAAGAGGTCGTAGAGGAAAGGGAGGGAGGGAGACACACTTGGGGGGTGTGGGGGAGCTGATGACTTGAAGATGTGAGACGAGATGGTAACGCTGCAGGCGGACCGAGATGTCATTCTGCCCGGCGCTGCTGTAGACAACGGCGTGGGAGCCAGCGCCTCGACTCGGGTCCGAGCCTCGCAGCAACAGCAGCAGCAGCAGCAGCAGTCGGCTGGTCCGTAACGCAGCCCGACGAGCGTAGAAGGGGGAGGTGGGTGGCCAGGTCTCGTGCGCTCAGTCCCTTCCAGGGGGTGCCCGTGTCTGACGGCTGGCGGGGAACGTAGGCGAGGGCGATAGTTGGAGACGTTTGGGGCCGACAGGGTCAGTCGGTGGACACGGGGAGCCGGTGCGGCTCGGTGGGTGTGGACCAGTGGGATCCGGCGAGGTCGCGGGGGGGGGGGGGTTTGCGATGGCTCGCCACCGAGCCCTGCTGCTGTGCCTGGAGATGCTGGCGAATCGTGGAGAGGTATGGCAGCCGCTGCGACCGCTCACGAGAAACCTGCACAATCATCATCCACCACCACCATCAAGCCATCATCAGCCATCATCAGCCATCATCATCATCATGAGCCGACATCAATCCACTGCTGGGTGAAGATCCCGCGAGGCTGTCGGAATCTCTCTCGTGGTTTCGCAGCGTAACGAGCCATCGAGTAGACGCGCGCGCAGTGATTTCATCGCTCCATCTCCGCGCTGGTGGTCGGACTCCTTGCGCGTCGCCGTTCATAACGGAAGGCCGCACTGAATTATAGATTTATAGAGCACCTTACATAAAGAATGTGGTGCTCTCACCCACGCCTTCTCCCCGTGGTGTGTAAACAAGTGCAGTGTCCAACTCTTATGATCTTCTCTGTCTCTCTCTCTCTTGCCCCTCTGTGTGCGTGCCATGCAGAAGGGCCTTTGTCGAAAACGTTGCCTAATATCTTTGCCTTGTAAGTCTGTGGATCTCTATGTAAGTCTTTGATTTTTTTTGAAGGTATTTGCGACAGTCTTTGGGTCTTTATTAAAATGTACAGGTTTCTGTGCAAGTTTACAGGTGTATGTGTAGGTCTGTGGGTCTCTACGTCAATACATGGGTCTCTGTATAAGTCTGTGCGTCTCTTTTGTGAGTGTTAGAGACTATCAGTCGATTAGGGGAGTGAAACTGTCAAACAAATATGTGAACACAAATTATAGGGAGTGAAGAATTTATGCCAGGGCAAAATATATGGTTGAAAAATACCTGAAGCATATGGAATGTTAAAACAGTTAAATGTTTTTCTTGAGCAATTTATTTTTTATTATTTTATGTTTTCACAAATGCTTATTCAGCCGCTCTGTCTTCAACATAAAAGCAATTCGTGGCAATTGTGGAGGATGATGAGCGGGGGCTTAGTGACTCGCTGGATATTTATTCCGGGTCGCCGTGTGTGGGGGCACGTGACCAGTAGGTAGTAGTCAAAGCCACACAGCGAGAGAAGAGAATCAGTGGATGTGGTGTGCCGGGTACAGAAATATACATATATACGTTCTGAATTACCTAGGGAGGATACGATTGTGATAACGTTTCGATTTAAAGCTTTCGTGACTGCAGGGATTCATCTTCTTGGTTCTTTCGGTAAAGTCACGAAGAAGGGAAGTAATAAAATAATAAAAATAAAACATTATAAAATTATTCTCACGACGTTTCGGCCACAACACAAGCAGCCGTCCTCAGGTGAAGACCAGGTCTGTCGGGGAGACAGCGTCTGAATGTGTCCGACAGACCTGGTCTTCACCTGAGGACGACTGCTTGCGTTGTGGCCGAAACGTCGTGATAATTATTTTATTATGTTTTTTATTTTTTATTTTATTTCTTCCCTTCTACGTGACTTTATCGAAAGAACCAAGAAGATGTGATAACGTTGCCAAACCATAGCGCGCTCGCTGCTTGCTACGGAGGTTCGTCGTTTGACCCTGGCAGACTACCTTGGTGGCGAGATGTTCACGACCTCGCCTGGTATACAGGAGGTCGAGGGTTCGATCCCGACTCTGAACTCCGGTTGTATATTTGGAGTTTGAATGTCTCTCTCGCCGTGGATCACGTGGCTTTTTCTCCGGGTCCTCCGGTTTTTCTCTCCACATTTAGAATCAACATCTCGCCTTTAGAGTATTTTGCTGATAAAAATTTCTACGTGACGAAAAGCCGCTTCGTTGAGCTATCATTTGTGATAGCCGCTTCTAAAAAAGAGCTACATAGCTCAGTGGGACCTTACCTGGCAAAGTAAACATTGTTAATGATTAGTTAATAAAGAGTTAATCCTGACGGTGCTCGTTAACCGTAAAACGCCACTGTACCCGCGGCGCCAGCGTCACAGTGGACGGCGAGGAATCCGTGACGTCGTTCTCAAGAGCGCAGGCTGTTGTGAGCCGGCGTCACGGTCCAAATTTGCCATGACTATAAGAGATGAGAAAACCCGCTGTTTGTTGAATCGTGTGAAACCGCCGACCGTGCAACCGCTGCCGCGGACGGCACTCATCTGTGAGGCATCACGGAGCCCTCGCAGCCTTGAGAGGCACGCAAACACCAACGGTGCGGGATTGTCACTGTAGGCGCGTCGCAGTGATGCCATGCGTCCGTGCGGGTTTAATGATAGATTCCGTTTCTCCCCCTCCTTCTCTTACTTCCCACTTTTTGTACCCCCCCTCTCCTACCCACACCTCCTTTACCCCCCCCCCCCCCCATCAACCACCTTCTACTCTTTTTCCACCTCTACTACCACCTCCTCTCCTCATCTTCCTCCTCCTCATCCCTCTCCCCCCTCCTGCACCACCTCCACCTCTTAATTCTCTTCTTCCCCACTCCTCCTTCTCCTTACCCTCCCATCCCTTCCCCTACCTCCTCCTCTCAACCACCTTTTCCTCTTACACCTCCTCCTCTCCTCTCCTCATCTTACCCCCTCCTTCCCACCCACCTCCCCTCCCCCGCGGCTGTGAAGTCAGTGGACCAGTCGGAGGAGGACTCGGAGGGCGAGGGCAAGTTCCGGCGCCTGCACAAGCTCGTGTCGTCCAAGAGGAAGGGCAAGAAGAAGGCCGTAGCAGCAGCAGGTGGCGGCGGCACCGCCAGGAGCGACGACAAGAAGAGGTCCACGTCGCTCTGCGAGGGTACGTCGGCGGCACCGCTTTGTCGCAACGCCACGGGCGGGCGGGTGGGTGGGCGGGCGGAAGGTCACCCAGTGATGGAGGGAATCCAGAATCCAGTGGAGGAGGGAGTGGAGGCAGGAGATCTTGTAGCCGGACCTGCTGGTGATGGAGGGAAGCCAGTGGAGGAGGGAGTGGAGGCAGGATATCTTGTAGCCGGACCTGCTGGTGATGGTGGGAAGTCAGTGGAGGAGGGAGTGGAGGCAGGAGATCTTGTAGCTGACCCTGCTGGCGATGGAGTGAAGCTGGCACAGCCAGCTATAAACTAAAACTATACAACTATGAACTTTTATTTATTTTACCAGGTAAGGCCCACTGAACTTTACAGATATTTTTCAGAAGCGACCTGGCCACAAATGATAGCTCAAAGTAGTGACTTATCACGTGGAAATTTAGAACTAACAAATGCTCTAAACGAAAGTTAATTATAAATGTGGAGGGGAAAACCGGAGGACCCGGAGAAAAATCCACGCGACCACGGGGAAAGAAAAAGAGCATGCAGACTCCAAATATACAGCAGGCGTCAGGGTCAGAATCGACCCCACGACCTTCTGCATACCAGGAGAGGTAGTTAACATCCTCTAGCCACCGCTCGCCCACTTGGTTATTAACAAACGCTGGGATCGTTACGTGGAGAGGGCATGTGGGACTCACTCGCCCCCTCCCACTCGACCCCCCCACTCGCCCCCTCCCACTCGCCCCTTCCCCCTCCCCAATCGCCCTTCCTCACTCGGCTCGGCCACCCCCACTCGCCCCCCGCCACTGGCCCCCTCCTCACCCCCCCCCCCCACTCGCCCCTCCCCACTCGGCCCGCCCCCCCCACTCCCCCCCCCACTCGCCCCTCCCCACTCGCGACAAGTGGGCGTCAAGGGCTCCGTCTCGAGCCCGACGAGAGCAGTCACGACGTTTATGTTCAAGTGAATCGGGTCTCCACGGTGGCTCGGAGATGTTAACTTCCTCGCCTGGTATACAGGAGGTCGTGGGTTCGATCCCGACCCTTGACGCCTGCTGTATATTTTGAGTTTGCGTGTCTCTCCCCCCATGGTCCTCCGGTGTTATCATTTAAAATCAACGGCACGCGTTTGGCGCATTTGGCTGCTCTAAATGCCCACGTGAGGATGATGAGGCCACGTTGTGATTGCCAGGTCGCTTCTGAAGAAAGAGCTTGTACAGCTCAGTGGGTCTTACTTGCTAGAACAAAAAGTTAATAGTTAAAAATAGTTAATGGAATCAGTCCTCGCGAGCACCTCCTTGCTGTTACCCGCAACCCCCCCCGCCCCACCGTCTCCGCGGGAGAGGGGAGCAGAGACTCAGTGATTTCACGCACGGGGACAGAGAGAGGGCAGAGAGGGAAATAAGAAGAGAAGGAATAGTCGAATGAGAGGAGAAGGGATGAATGTCCTGGGCTTCCCCTGCGTCAGCTCAGCCTTAAACGAGCACCTGGCGCAGTGTGTAGACATCATCGCTGCGGAAGACAAAGACGGCCCGGGCGTGATGCCCCGTCCGTCACGTGCCGTTCGTAGGTGCTCGCTAGCAGCCCTTGCCCCAACAGTCCGTTGAGGCTATACGGGTGGTCTTTGTATGTGTGTGCGTGTGCACATATGTTAATGCTGTTTTTGTTTCACACTGAGGGCGATCTGTGCAGAGGATACTTGAGTGCGACAGATGGGTTGGGAGTTGTGAGCATCGATTTAACCTGTGTGTGTGTGTCCGTGTCTTGTGTGTCTGTGTGCACGTGTGTCTGTATGCGTGTCTCTGTGCGTGTGTGTCCGTTTGTTTGTCTGTGTGTTTGTCCGTCTGTTGAAGCTCTACAGGGGATCTTTGTCTTTCTTGTCCGCTTGTGCACATCAGCGTGTGTGTGTGTGTTCTCTTCATGTTGTATCTGGTTAGCGCGCTACGCTGCGAAATCGGTGACCCGAGATCGATGTCCACTCACGGCCGACACCAGTGACGATTATCTGAACCGGGCCTGTGCATCCCGTAGGTCGACTCGACCTTCAATGAGTACCTGGTGCGGTGTGTGAATACCAGCGCTGGGGAGAGAAAGGCTGCCAATCGTGATTCTAGCCACTCCCTTGTGCGCCGTGTCGGCTTTAATAGGTGCTCGCAAACAATGCTTTCACCAACAGTCTGCTAAAGACTTAATGGGGATCTTTGTGTTTTGTTTGTGTAGAGGTGTGTCTGCGTTTCTCTGTTGTGTCTATTTGAATGTAGTCGTGTGTGTCTGCGTTTCTCTGTTGTGTCTATTTGAATGTAGGCGTGTGTGTGTGTTTCTACGTAAGCACGTGTAGCCATGTGTGTGGTCTCTGCGGGTGCGTTCCTCGCTCAGAGCACTTGCCCCAACAGTCCGCTCAGAGGCTATACGGGGGATCTTTGCCCGCGTCTTTGTGTGCGCACACAGTGCGCACACTCGCACGTCATCCGCTTAATCCACGTTTGTCGACAAATCCATTCCAATGCCCCTGGGCTGTGATTCAAGACAGATGCGCGCCGTTTGTTTCAACGGCCAGGGAACATTTGTGCCACGTGCTGGGAGGGAGGGGGAAGGGAGGAGTGGGAGGTGGGGGAGAGGAGACGGGGAAGAGAGAGGGAGGAGGGTGAGGATGTGCGGAGGAGAGGCAGATGGGAGGGAGAGGAGGGAGGGGAGAGTGAGGAGAGAGGGAGGTAGGAGGGAGGGGAGAGTGAGGAGAGGGGGAGGTAGGAGGGAGGAGAGAGGGAGGAGAGAGGGAGGAGAGAGGGAGGAGAGAGGGAAGGGATAGTGAGGAGCGTGGGAGGTAGGAGGGAGGGGAGAGTGAGGAGGGAGGAGAGAGGGAGGAGAGAGGGAGGAGAGAGGGAGGTAGGAGGGAGGAGGGGAGAGTGAAGAGCGTGGGAGGTAGGAGGGAGGGGAGAGTGAGGAGAGGGGGAGGTAGGAGGGAGGGGAGAGTGAAGAGAGGGGGAGGTAGGAGGGAGGGGAGAGTGAGGAGAGGGGGAGGTAGGAGGGAGGGGAGAGTGAAGAGCGTGGGAGGTAGGAGGGAGGGGAGAGTGAGCAGAGAGGGAGGTAGGAGGGAGGAGAGAGTGAGGAGAGGGGGAGGTAGGAGGGAGGAGAGAGTGAGGAGAGGGGGAGGTAGGAGGAAGGGGAGAGTGAGCAGAGAGGGAGGTAGGAGGGAGGGGAGAGTGATGAGAGAGGGGGAGGTAGGAGGGAGGGGAGAGTGAGCAGATAGGGAGGTAGGAGGGAGGAGGGGAGAGTGAGGAGAGGGGGAGGGTAGGAGGGAGGAGAGACGGTTCCTAGGAAGATGTTCACCGAGGTGCCTCTCGTTAATGATGACGGAAGCAGTGTGCTCATTAGCGCACTCACCTGCCGCTCGTTAGCACCCAGATGGCGTCAATTAACTAATCAGCCGGCACCTGCGCTGTTTACCTTTGTTGACGCACTTCTGCGTTAGAGCGCGCCACGCGGAGCCTGCTGTTGGTACAACGAGCAGCTTGATGGACAAGCATCACGGATAATAATAAGAGTGCCGTGTTTGTGTGTGTGTGTAAAAGTGTGTGGCGCTGTAGTGTAGCGGTTAGCGCGCTGCGCTACGAACCCGGCGAACCGAGTTGGATTCCCGCTCACGGCCAACACCAGTGACGATTTTCTGAACCGGTCATGGGCCTCCGCTAGGTCGACTCAGCCTTTAATGAGTGGTGTGTAAAACATCGCTACTGGGGAGACAACGGCGGCCGGGCGTGGTGCTAGTCGCCCACCCCTATCGTGTGCCGTGCCGGCCTTCATAGGTGCTCGCCTAACAGCACTTGCCCCAATAGTCTGTTCAGCCTATACGGGGGATCTTTGTCTTTGTTGCGGTGCTGTCATAGCAGCAGTGTGCCGCTCAACAGCCCACCGAAATTTGCAATCTGACATCGCAGGCTCAATTCCATCTCTTGAATCCCCTCCCCAACCCCCTAACGTCACCCGGCGTTAGGTCATTTGGGTGGTGGTGGTGGGGTAAAGTGTGGGTGCTTCTGCCTCATCCATGACGGTGCAGCCAGCGTGGAAGATTAGGCCAATAACCCCCTATATTTGAGGGGGGGGGGGCTCTATAGAGCTACCTCTAGCAGTCAGCGGTGGCTGACACAAGTTATTGCAGTTTGCGCCTTTACCTTCATATCAAATTGCTTACACAGTAGATTTGAAGTTTTCGTGACTGCAAGGATACATACTCTTTGGTTCTTTTGGTAAAGTCACGTAGGTGGAAAAATAAAAATAAAATAAATTAAATCACGATGTTTCGATTGCAACACAAACTTATATAAACTCCTTAACTCCGGCATCTCTCCCACTTCGGTAAAAAAATGCTTGCTGTGGTTGTCACACCTGTTGAGGATGCTTGTGTGCCCTCTGCTTGTTGAGTTGTCCACCGTTAAGTTGATGGCCCAAGAGCTGTAAAAGTTGAGAGTTTTGAAAGTCACACTCTCTCTGCTCTATCTCCGTAGTAGTCTTTCGCGAACAATATTATCCACAAACGAGGTTTTTTTGGTTAGATCGCATAAATATAAATGTGTCGTTAAACTTCTTCAACGCAAAATCCGGTGCGCTGAACTCGCAACGAACGGCTGTGTCGGGTGGGTGGTGGGTTTAACGATGCATTTACATCTCTCCGCTCTCTCCTCCGCCCCGCAGGGAGCCCGGCGCTGGGCGGCCCCCGAGGGCTACGCGACCACCTCCTCCCCCGCCCCTCGTCGCTCGACACGTCCGGGCCGGGCTCCCCCACGGGCCCCGCCAATCTCGCGCTCTCCCCGCTCCAGCGTGAGCCGAGTCTGTCGTCGCCCCCGCCGCTCCAGCCCCCCACGACGCCGTTGCTCCTTCCCCGGCCTCCTCCGCCCCCCCCGCCTCCTCGCTCCCTCGAGTCATCCTCCTCCTGCGACTCCTCGCTGGGGAGCCTGCACCCGTGCCGCAGGGCCGACGGCGACGGCAGCGGCGGCGGCGGCGTTCCGTGGGACACGTCGGAGACCAGCATCTCCACCACGGCCTCCGAGCTCACCGGCGCCTCGTCGCCCTCGGCCGACAGCACTCCGGGGGCGGGCACGGCCGCCGGCGCCGCGCTGTCGCTCGCCGACCTCTCGTACTCCTCGTCGGCCTGCGGCGGCTCCAGCTCGGGAGAAGTCACCCCGCGGAGTCCAGAGAGGCTCCCGCTGGAATTGCAGCTGCAGCAGCAGCAGCAGCAACGCGACACGGAGCTCTACAGCTTCGTCAAGTCGGGCGCGATGAAGAAGACGCAGCAGCAGCAGCCGGTGTCGTCGCCAACGCCGCCATCATCGGCGTCTCCGAGCCACGCGGTAAGTGCCGCCCTCTCGGTGCGCGGCGGAGGTGGCGGCTGTGCCGCCGCCGCGGCGGCGGCATTCCCGTTCCCACGGCAGTTCGTCGCGTCGCTGGACGAGATCAGCGCCGCCCGCCGGCGGATGATGGCGCTCCGCAGGAACGGCAGCTCGCCGGCGAGCCTGCCGACCTGTCACCTCTACCGCGACGACGACGGCGCCGGCGCGGTGAACGGCAATGCCGGCCGCGCCGGCTCCCCTGCGGCGGCGGCGGCGTCGTCGGAGAAATTTGACGCGCTCGTCGCCAGGATAGAGCGGAACCTGAGCCAGCTGATGGAGAGGAACGCGGTGGTTTTGGCGGCGGGCGACCAGCGCAGGCCGACGGGCGAGGTTGTAGGCGGGGGCGCTGGCGTGCGGGGCGCGTCGGCCGAGCCGCGGGGCCGGAGGCGGCGCGTCTCGGCGCCGGCGGCCGAGGCCGCTCCCGGTGGACGCTGGGCCCGTGGCGGCATTGGCGGCGGCGTCGGCAGTGGCCGGAACTCTCCGGAGACGGCGCCGGCCGAAGCGCAGCAGCAGCAGCAGCAGGCGAGGACGTTTGTGAGTGGGGAGCCGGGCGGTGGAGTCGGTATCTTGGCAGCGACGGTGGTGGCGTCCCATCGGAAACACGCAGCTTGTCGGCGCGGGAGTCTTTGCGGAGCAGCTGAGATGAGGACGACGACGACGACGATGACGACGACGACGATGAGGACGATGCATGCGTCAATCTGGAGGTTAACAATCGCTTCCGATGCCATGCGACGCTCGTGCGATATCGAGCACTGGGGATCGGATCGGTTTAGTTCATAAATATTTTGTTCCCATTGCGTTCTTAAGAGTGAAAGAGAGAGAGGTGATAACCCCTCCCAGAAGCCCGAATTGCGTCGCTGTGGAATGAGCGGTCGCCGGTTGCTGCGGCATCATGCCGAGCCTGCCGTTACTCTCGGCTTAACGTTACTCCTGGCCTCACGTTACTCCCGGCCTGACGTTAACTCCTGGACTCAACGCGACTCCCAGCCTGACGTTACTCCCGGCCTTGACGTTACTCTCCGCTTGACGTTACTCCCGGCCTGACTTTACTCCCAGCTTGACGTTACTACCAGCCTGACGATAACTCCCGCACTCAACGCGACTCCCGCGCCGCCATGGGGGGGGGGGGGTGAGGCGCGGTTCCGATGCGATGCCACAAATCCCAAAAGACGCTCCGTGCACTCGCAAACCCCCAAACCAGGGGCCAGCCAGTCCGTGGCTCCTACCTCGGGATTGAGTTTTCGCCGAAGCTCCTTTCTTAGGAGGTTTTCTCGTTCTCGATCAAATTAGATTTTTTTGCTTGCACACGGAGTTTGCTCCTCGCAGCGGGGGTGGGTTAAGGTGGGGGGGGGGGCAACAAATCTGCTACTGCGATGAGCTACGAAACTCCGGAAGGGGATGCCTGGTCAGCAAGTGGCATCAACAGACAATACAGGAGCAGGACGGAGAAAAGTCAAGCGGGTCTACGAGAAATTAATTAAGATGGATAGAGCGCTGGAGGCACAAATTGCACTCGCGCGTACGTTCCCGCAGGATTTGCCAACGCCAAATGCGAGCTTGGGGCGAGGCAGCAAAACACAGACAACAGTCCCAGACCACAGCAAGACCACAACACACAGAGTCCCTCCATTACATTGCAATCAATGTGGCGCACGTTCGTCCAAAGTGACAACTTTATCTGTTTGGCTGCGTGTCGGGCGGCGGGAGGGGAACATAAAATATCTCCCCGCGCACGATCTGGAGGACGGGCCAGACACGTGGGCATGCTCTGAGAGCCCTGCGTGTGTCGACCTCGCTTTTTGGATCAGCGTCGCGAGCCCCCACCTCCCCTCTCCGTTGCGCGGACAATCGAGCCGCATTAAAAAAATATATATTTTAATTAACACAAGAAGACAAATTCGACTTGCAACGTCGCCGGACAAAAGCCCCCCGCTCCCCCGGGTCCACGAACTCCTTTTGCGCGTGGCCTCGTCTGCCAACGGTGCCGTCGGCAGGGACATTGCGGGGGGCCTGCTGCGCCCGATCGCTTATGCTTTTATCGCGGCCGCCCCGTTCGGCCTCCAGGGGAAGAGCGGCATTATTTGCTCCCTTAACGAGGGTGCCCGTAGCCGTGGCGACCCAGCCGTGGTGGAGGGGGGGGGTGCTAGCTTTGTGCCGATAGCGCCGGAAACTTCACCGGCACCGCAGCAACAGGGAGCCGGCAGGGGTGAGGCTCGTCGTGTGATAATCGGCGGGCGATCGCCAGCTTTACGATGTTTAACTCTCATTGAATATTGTGACCACCATTCCCTGTTATAATAATAATTTGCACCTCGCGGTGTCCCGGGGCGCCTTCGCCGAGTCTCAAGAATTCCCATGGCAGGAGGGTCCTGCCAGGCGGCGCCGCTGCCGCCGTGTTCCCGGTCGCGTCAATTCCAGGGGCACTCTTTCGGCACCGTCAGCTCCCCCACCCTGACTAAAGCGGTGCTCGTTTTTATCGACCCCGGAGCAGGGGGGGGGACGATGGGCTGAGTCAACCCCCCTCCACTCGCCCCCGCCACCCAACCGGGGGGCGTTGCGTTAGGGTTCACAGCCACCACCAACGCTCGCACCGAAGAACACCACGGTCCAAACGCACTCCTAACTCATGGATCATTGGACGGGCAAGACAAGACGCACCCTCCCGCCCTGGCTGACGAGCAGGAATTGCGAGCAGGGATTGCGAGCAGGGATTGCGAGCAGAGATTGCGAGCAGGGATTGCGAGCTGGGATTGCGAGCTGGGATTTCGAGCTGGGATTGCGAGCAGGGATTGCGAGCAGGGATTGCGAGCTGGGATTGCGAGCAGGGATTGCGAGCTGGGATTGCGAGCTGGGATTGCGAGCAGGGATTGCGAGCAGAGATTGCGAGCAGGGATTGCAAGCTGGGATTGCGAGCTGGGATTGCGAGCAGAGATTGTGAGCTGGGATTGCAAGCAGGGATTGCAAGCTGGGATTGCGAGCTGGGATTGTGAGCAGGGATTGCGAGCAGAGATTGCAAGCTGGGATTGCGAGTGCACGGATAGTTGTCGCCGCAGCATGCCTTGTTCCTGCATGCTGTCATAGCGTGCTGCCCGGAGCATGCTGTCCATAGCTTGCTGTCGTGATGGCCTGCTTGTGATTCAGGCTAAGCCCTGATCTTTGGTGGTTGTTGTGGTTGTTGTTGTGGTTGTTGTTGTGGCCGTGGTTGTTGTTGTGGCCGTGGTTTTTCTTGTGGAGCGATGGCATTTGAAGCTTAAGTGAGAAGGCTCTGTTCATCTGGAAATGTGGTTGATGTTTTGGTGTTGTTGTTTTTGTGCGTCACAGCATTTCAGCTGAGCTCTTAGCTTCAGTCAATTTTGAAGTGTTGTTGTCAAGCCTGAGTCTCATGACTCCTTTTCCAGGAGGGTCCTGCCAGTGAATTTTTTGCGGTCGTGGTGAATGACTGCTGCTGCTGCTGTGTGTGTACATTTCAGTTGAGTCATTAGCCTTGTTCCTATTTTGTCGACCCACTGGATGTCGATTGAGTCTGTGGGATGAATCCATCTGTGCGAAGGTGTGAGCGCTGTCTCCTTGCTATATGTGGTGGATTTTCTCCGTGAACTGCGGTTTTGCTAAGGGTGACCAAGACAAAATATCCCCCCCCCCCCCTTTAGCCTGAGCAGACTGTTGGGGCAAGCGTTGTTAACGAGTATCTATGAAGGTCGGCACGGCACATGATGAGGGGGTTCGTGGCCGGAACCAATATAGATGTCTCCCTTATCGTGACGTTTACACACCGCACCAGGTGCTCATTTGAGGCTGAGTCGACCTAGAGGAAGGCCCAGGACCAGTTTAGATTCTCATCAATGGTATTGGCCATGAGCATGAATCCAATTCGGGTTGCCGGGTTCGAAGCGCAGCGCGCCAACCGCTGCGCCACCGCTCCCCACTTGCTTGCACCAATAGCAGGGCTTGCCGGCGTGAGGGCAGGCAGCGCACTGAGGCCAGGAGGTGGCGGTGCCGCGCGTCTCCCCCTCGTGGACAGCAGCGCGGAGCTGCTGGGCTGCAGAGGTCGCAACCGGGTACCCGATACCCGTACCCTACCCGATACCCGGGTACGGGTACCCGTTTGCGACCCTGGTGCGGCCGGGTACGGGTAGACAGTGAGTCACTGGTGAGTAACTGTTTGTCACTCATTTCCCAACGTCTTGTCTCTTCTCACACTTCAAGTTCCTAGAATCAACCCACCCGCGCCTGCAACATGGCTTCATCCCAGAGGTCGCAATCGGGTACCCGATACCCGTACCCTACCCGTACCCGGCCGGGTACGGGAAGGGTACGGCCGGGTACGGGTACAGTTAGCCGTTTGCGACCCTGGTGCGGCCGGATACGGGTACGGGTAAGGAATCAAAACCCGTTTGCGACCTCTGCTGGGCTGTCTCCGGCCACACACGAAGCCACAACGCTCATCGCCAAATAACGGAATTCACGACGCAAACATCCCAGTGGCAGGCAGCAGCACGACCCTCCTGACAAACGAGTCTTGGGACTCTTGACCATGTCAGGTGGCAAAGGGTCGAATGACACAAATCTGGATTTAAAGCTTTCGTGACTGCAGGGATTCATCTTCTTGGTTCTTTCGGTAAAGTCACGTAGAATGGAAATAATAAAATAATAAAAATAAAACATAATAAAAAAATTCTCACAACGTTTCGGCCACAATGCCAGCAGCCGTCCTCAAGTGAAGAACAGGTCTGTCTTATCGACAGGTCTGTCTTATCGACAGACCTGTTCTTCACCTGAGGACAGCTGCTTGCGTCGTGGCCGAAACGTCGTGAGAATTATTTTATTATGTTTTATTTTTATTATTTTATTATTTCCATTCTACGTGACTTTACCGAAAGAACCAAGGAGACACAAATCTGACCAAAACATCATTGCGTGGCCTACCACCCCCAACGCATCGACAACTCACCTTCCGC